GGCACTTAATTGGTATGTTGTCATAGGTCTTTTATAAGTAGGGTACTTATTCGGTATGTTGTCATAGGTCTTTTATAAGTAGGGTACTTATTTGATATGTTGTCACAGGTCTTTCCAAAAGATTCTTCTGCCTCAATGACTGCCATAGAAATTGCGTTTACGTCAAGTGCAACTGCTCRGGGTTCTTTAATACAAAAAAGRACTGTTCAACGTGCAAGAGGTGTACTACTTATTGTCACTGCCACGAATTGGGACCTTACGATTGACTAACTAAAGTCACAGGACCTTGCACCCTACCAACACGTAGTAGAAGGTCTGAAAACTTCTACAATTGTTATGGTTTACGAGTGGACTGGGCACTTGTAAAGCTAATATAAATAGCCGTTTATAAAATGATAGTTAACAAGTCTACATAATGACGTATGTACTAATAAAGATTGTCATACATACAMCTATTTAAAAAAACGTTGTCGGGGAGAACGGCGATTGTCGAAGGGAGATTGCMCGACCRAAAGGGACTATGGTTACAGAGTTTTGATAAACAAAATTTCACTTATCGTATWAACCKTGCATAGAAATGAAGACTAAATCAGTGGAGCACGTTTTCCACAGACTATCTTASAGTATAAATCAGTTTCTCATCAATTACAAAAACCCATGGCTACTTTCGGTCGTGCAATTGCCGTTTGACCATTGACATTCGCCATTTTATACKACAACCTTTTTTGAAATAGGTATATTCATATATAAAACAGTTGTATTAGTTTTAAAACGACAGATAAATAAATCGATTTTAATTAAAGTTAACAAACAAACATGAAATGTTTGTAAAAACAAAACTGTTCATTTCTTTTTTTGTCAACTGTTCTAGTCCAAAATGTTTCCATCACTGGAAAAAATCGTTCACTTTAAAAGGTTGTAAATTTGATGTAAATATCATGTAAGTGTCCAAAATGACGTAAATTTGATGTAAATTTGATCATTTTGGACACTTACATAATATTTACATCAAATTTACAACCTTTAAAGCGCGCGATTTTTTCCAGTGTCCGTCCATATATTGCATGGGTATCCGTTTTAGACTCCTTTGGGSTTCACTGCMGAGGAGGGTAAATATACGCAGGCCACAGCASYYAAAACTGGAGTCGTGAGGAATATCTCCAGACAACATCCTTAACGGGCCATGTTCAACCGGCGTCCCTTTCGACCTTTTAAAAAGCCGACGGATGGAAACGGATTGTAACTAGATTTTTGACTGAGTCACTTCATTTTCCATATATGAACTACAACACGACCGCAATGAATGCTGGTGGACTTTAAGTATAGTAAATTTTCTAAAAAAAAAAACGGAACAGCGCCCTTAAAGAAGTTGAACTTTATTACTATCAATATATATCATATATACAGAGAAAAACAATCATTTAACATTTCAYATTCGAATACATTACAAAAGTTCATTATTAATCGTTAAGTTAATAAGTTTTGAGCGTAACTGCTGACTTTCAGCTTAATAATTTTGAAATGTCATTTCATTCTATAAACTTCAAATTGACTTTGTCAGTGGTTTAACATCACGTGAGCAGGCGCTACTCTACAGGCAGCCCAACTTTTGATCAATTTATCTTTGAAATGAATCTGAAATGGTCTATTTTGAGATTTTGAGACGAGCAGGATGGAACACTTACAATGTCTTTCGGTGAGTAATGCATTTAGTGGTAAAATTGTCCCTGTTTCAAAGTCTTTCTTCACACGTATGTAACTTTTCTCAAAGCTACTTCCGTAACTCTGTTTAGTTGTTGTTTGACGAGAGAATATTCCTGACAAAAATTTGTTTCCATACAAACCGAAACCATTCTTTAACCTTGTTTTCTCCAGCTCTTTTTAATTAAGAGTTCACTGTTTATTTTTCTGTGTGATGTAATCGATGC